TATTGTCTATGCGTTGAAATAGGCGCAGACGGAATTCAACGCATACATGAGTAAATATTGGGTGTGGTTGGTCAAGGAAGAGTAATTGAATACGGTTTATCAAGAATGTTTACGAATATACAATACTGTTGAATATAATTTATTTGAGGAAATATAAATGCAGTGAACAGATTACAATATCGGTGGCCACTCGTTGGCTAATTAATAGTTCCGATACGATGAACAACTTGATCATTTCACATGAATTAGATATAGGACGTTAGGACCACTCGCTGGCGTATATGTAGACTGTATGGCGAACTCTGACTCGTCTGATATCGCTGACTCGGTTTCTCCACTGCCTTCTTTTATGGCCTTCGTTTCGTCTCCCATTTTCACGTTCCTAAAAGATCATATTCGTAGGTAACATCTTATGATAGCATTCTTAGCTTTCTTACAATGTCTTTGTTTTGGCTGTTAGCATGCATTTTATCTGAATATGCAACAAATGTGTTGCCTTTGCCATATGTTCATCTTTATGTTTTGATTTGAACCGTTTCATTGGAATGGTGTTTTGGTAATTCGAACAGTACAATGTTTACACATGTACGTAAGATAGGCAAGGATGGACTTTAGGATATACATTTTTGAAAAAGCTAGAATGTACTCTAATGGTGTATACTTTTCTTCACTACAGAAACTCACTGTTGTGCACTGATCCTCAACCTTTTTCCCCTTCGCATACCCTTGGAGCAAATCAATGTTATCAACTGACACTGTTGATTAGTTTCATCTTGCCGTTCGCTTCTTCGAAACAAAATGTTACACTCTGAACGATGTCTCGATGTGCTATAGTTTAAAGCACGTGAAACGTCGATGATCACTGATCCAAATCACTGCGATATTCTTCGTTATTTCCATACAGATTCCTTATTGAACGATACTTAAGCATTTCTTCTTTGCTGCAGCGATATCGATTAACAACAAACTGCTTTAGTGCCGCACTGTTATCATACCGCATTATATTGAAATTGATAACTTATTAATTATACTCAAAGAACTGAAATCCAATTTCCTCGCCCATAGCATCATTTCATTTATGTCGTTGATTTATAAAAATCAGTGAAACTGATGTAGAAAGGCAGCCTTGAAACTATGATTCATTACATATAAACGGCAATGATTCAACCTTTATTAGTCAAGCTCTTTGTTCTGCATATGCTTCTAACATTCATTCCTTACATATTTCTCCATCGAATACTCCAGATTTGCTTCGATTTTTTCACTGATCATTTCCCAGTTACTCGATGCAAGAGAGCTTTCTGATGCAAAGTGATGATTGATCGATGGGACTGTTAGAAGTGTTGTTGAATTGCATGCGTTCAATAGAATACGCTGAACAGGTTTCGCTGCTACGAATGTGCTATTGGTGGGTGAAGAGAGCGTTTGTTTGATTTGCTTACAAATCTTAACAAAACGCACTTTGAGATTGTATCGAAAATGCGAATGAATTTTAAAAGTGGATTGATATTGTTCTTATGTATATTTGTACTTGTTGTTGAATCGAGCGCAAACTCAATTCTACCTTATCTCGGCGACAAATCTGCTATCAATGGCTTGAAATGCGATATTTGTATCAAGTTCATGCAAGGTGTTGTTTACGATATCGGCATTCTTAAGGTATTATTTTGTTTTACGTTCCGAAATGTACTCTCCACCTCATCCGTAACGAATTGTTTCTCATGTAGCTAAAGAGATACGTCTTATTGAATGCCTCTGTAAACAGTCATGGAAACAGTGAGACTGAAAATGTTATGAAAACAATGAAATTTTATCAGTTATCAATCATAAATTGGAACAGTCAACAACAACTGATACTATTTGATCATTTGCTGAAATTGTGCATCACGGTTTAGAAGAATCTTCTTTTCCAAAAGTTTCATTTATGACAATTTTGCATTTTTTTGATCTCACTTCATGTAATATCAGTCTTTGATTACAGTAGTTCAGCGGACCACTATTTTTAGCTAACTCATAGTAATTTCATGAAATTTTGATGCGAAAATTGCAGTCGAAAGCGTTGGAATCAATTGAGAGGAACTGTTCGAAGTGGTTCAGCAAGAAATACGAACGCTACGAGAAGTGCGTTCGTGTTCTCAGCGAACAAATCGTAATTTTGGCACAAGACATGGAAGATGCACTGAATCCAAATTCAGTTTGCGTTCGGGCTCACTTCTGCAAGATGAATGCGTCCAACAATCGTACCAAGCATACAGCCCAATCCCTTTCATCGAACAACTTATGAAATCCGTTATGACATTCTTTCACACCGCCACAAATATACTTCATCGAATGATCCATCCAGGTGTCGACTCACTGAAAACACTCCGTGCTCCTAACTATCTGCAGTCAACGTGGTACATTCAAACTGTGTGACTTATTTACAGATATTTCAGTGGTAACCGTTAATATGGCTTCCGTTTCCGATAGCAATATTTTGAAGCCACTGGCGATAATTTTTTTTTTGGCTCTCGGAAGTTGCTGCTCTCAGAAAAGCTGCTTTAGTTTATAGTCGAAGTACTTTGAAAATTTGAACGCAATACTCAGTGAATGAAAAAAGTAGTCACAAATGAAGAAACATGAAATGATAAAAAATTAAGTGTGTTCCGTGTAATTCCTATGCTAATTCACGTTAATTTAACTGATTTTCCATACACATCATATGATTGTAGTGTTTTGTTTAGGAGCTGATTTATCAGTCGCTTTCAAGACGATATTTGCACAAATGAGAAGTTCAGTTGCATGATTGAGGTGGGGGGGATGAGCCGGCCGTTGACCACTGCAAAATGTCAATAACATTCACAATCAGCAACAGTTTTAGACGATTTTGGGCGTTGATAATTTTGTTTATTGGTGAATTTACGATCAATTGTTTTTAATCGAATGTGTTTCATTGAAAAGTGTTTAATCAAAGATCGCTCATGTTTGCAATGCATCTTCGTGGCTCTGGTGAATAGATGCAACGTTCCTGAGTCTCGTATAAATGATAAATTCCTTGAAAGGTATTCACAAGTATATGTTATGCAAGTTGAATTGAAAATATTTGTTGATGCATGTATTAGTACGTTTCGTTGTTATTCCGCTGAGTAGTTTGTGGTTGCACTGTGCATTGGACGTTTTGCTTTTGCGTTTTCATTACACAATTTTTAATGTTCGCATAAATTCAACATCACTGATGCAGTTTTCTTTGACATACTTCCGCGAGCCCATTTCAGTAACGCCAGCAATTTGCAGTACGAAAGTGTGCACGAATATTTATTCTGCAATGTTGACGGCATAAGGACAGCTTTCACACGCAACCACAACCACGTCAGTCCACAGGCAGTTGTCATGGATCTTTGCTCCAAAATTATTGCTTCCGTTGTCTACAAATTACATAGGTCTTCGTGCGATCGTTTTTGCACTAATTGACCCTGAAAGTAGTTGAAACGGTTAAGGTATGCGGATTGTTCTCTGATTTGGACGTTCTGAAACAATGCTCCAACTGGGTCAGTAATAAAAGCCGGCCTTGAAGAAATGTTACCCTAGCGTTGTCAACTTTTTGGGAAAAAATGAGTTTGAATAGTTACGTCGACAACTTAAAAGAATGGCTAAAAATGAAAATTCATTTTGAAAGGATGGGTCAGTGATGTAGAACGTTGTTGTTTTCTTGTTTAGATTAGAACTGATAATGACTAGGAATGTTAAATGAAATAACGTGGCGATTAATTCGATGCCAACATGATATTTAGACTATGTTTTAATTTAAAGCTGTTGACTAAATCTTATGTTGGCAAGCCATTGGGAAATATTCCGAGTTGTTGAACCGAAAAGCAGATTCGATACATCAATATATGGCAGATGCAATATATCAATACCGATTCGATATACCAGTGTTTCAAGACAAAACATACTCGTATCATTTTGTGGAACATATCCAACTAATTCTGAATCTGTTCTCTGATTCTGCAAAACCACTTTTAAACACGAATTCTAGTTGAGGGAATAAGACAAAACAATGGGTGAAAAAACCCTGCACACATCACTTTCTAGTGTAATTTTGGTATGCATCTAGTTTTGGTACGTATTATCACTTTGTGATGAGATCCATTTCAATATAAAAACAATAATCATGGAACATAATCAGAAATGTGCAATTCGTTCGTATTTTCAGCCGAACATACTCTTCCACACAGCTATTGCCCCTTGACTTCGAGGTCCGTTCACCAACCACCGCACCACTCAGAAGTATATAATACAACATTGGTGTATTAGTTCATTCCTTCATTGCTCGTGTCCAGTTAATTCAGGGTTTTCCTCCTAAAGTCTCAGTTTCTGAGTTCAGTGAGCTATAAGGTACTTTTACAGGAGATCAATCGTTTTCCTAAGTTGTTTATCGATTGTACTGGTATGCTGAACGAGACCCGTCACCTCAATATCAGAATATGCATCTTAAGTGAAGATTTCTGTATTTTATTTCATGATCAATTTCATGATCAACCATGAGAAGGAGATATGAGCGGGTAAGGAGTATGAATAGCCAGGGAATTTGATTATCTCATTATCATCTCCTAAAAGCTTTGACAATTGTCTACATATTTGCTGTAATTCTCTTTCCTCTCCTTAATTGCTTTCGCATAAAAACAAGCATGAAATGGTATATAAACCTCAGTTTCCGTAACACGAGTCAATGCTAGCTTCATCAGAACCGGTTTCATCATTATCACACTTGAGGCTTGACCAGATGGTTCTTCATTCGGACATATTTACTGTCGTTATTATCGTGATTTTTTTGATAAGCGGATTGCATTTAAACGAAATTCGAATTCCTGAAAGACTTTGCTAAAATTTCGACGGTTATTTCCAGTCAACTTGGCAATGGAATCGCAAGTTTTGAAGTAAGATTTGAAATTAACGATTGGCGGAGGAACATTGTCAACTAATTTTGGAGCGAAAACTGCGAAAAATGTTAAAGATGTTTTTTCTTTTTTCAATCAGCGGCACTTTTAGCAAAAAGTTTTCGCTTCTTTTCCGTCAGCGGCGCTAATAGCCGATCATTTATGGCGAGACAAAAATACTGTTTAGTGAATTAGCGATGAATTAGGAGCTTTTTTTTCAGCAGGATGCCCATCACTGGAGCGAATATTTCACTTGAGATGTGTTGATTACAGAAACGCTTTCAAAGCAGATTTCTGAATGAAAATGTTGAACTGACGAATTATCATTCTCCGTGCGACAAAATTTGCGATATTCTAGACAGTTTCTAAGAAAGTCTCTAATACCTGTATCAAATGAAAAATTTATTTGTTGGTTGGATTTTTTTGTCAGTTTTGGATCAGTTTTTGCGCCGATTTTAAGTATGCGATTTGTTTCAACGCATTGTTGTTCGATATGGTGTTGTGATGTATTGTTGTATTGTTGTCATACTGTATTGTTGTCACATATCAGCATATATTCGAATTTTTTTTTGGTCAAATAAATTTTTATCGACTCTGGATCAATTTTCTGCGCTCACTGATCGCGGCCTTTTTTGTATACATCCGTCGACAGCTTCGATAGAAACGATGAGTTTCATGACTACTCTTAATCTTTTCCAGTTAAGAGCAAATATTGCACTGGCATGTGTCGTTTAGTAACATAACATGAGCACTGGCAATCAATTTTTGTCCTCAACTGAAGATAACCGGCAGAAAAGGAACGTTCTTGGAACAAAAGCCGATAACACCTTTTCACATCACTCATGAACACCCCAATTCGTGCTTCAAATCAATTTGCGAGTCAATCTCATTTTGAATATTTGACAATATCAGAAAATGACGATTCCTGTTCTAAAAATTAACGTCTAAGGAAGCTTTCGTAACAGTTTATTTTGGGATACAATTCATCGTTTCCTGGTACATCACATTCATTTCGAATAGTTCCCACTGTATGTTTGGAACAACGAACATTGAGTATTTCCCGAGTAAGACCTCTGAACATTTTCAAAAATATTTACATTATTTACATCACTGGGCGAGTATGTGATGGAACAGCATATGATGGAATCAGTTTACTCATCAATTCGTCCATATTAATTACTATAAATAATTTGGAAGCGGCAACCATTCCAGCTAAGTTATTTTTGCTAACGATAAGACGCGTTATATCGCAGTGCTGTAATGTGTTGTCACTCGAGAATTTATGTAGCTGAATTGAGACATTGTGAGCGAGTCATTCGAATAGTCATCTTGGCAGTCAAAGAAGGACGTGGCAAAGGAAGAATACACATTTCGATTCACTTGTATCAAACGAATACTTCTGGACCAAAGCGATGGAGAATACGACAAAAGAGTGTAACAATGTAACAATTTTCTGATGCAGATCATGATAAAAAAGTCAAAATAACCGAAAAAGGAAGATAAAAGCGTCGGTCATTTTGCGTGAAGAGCAATAAAGCAATCGGTCAGTGGTCCACTCGTAATATTCGCCGTTTTCAGCAACGCACATCCATTCGAATTCAACATGTCCTTCCTCATTTTGTCAGCAACAAGCACTCGTTTCTGATTCTCATAATCCGTTGAATACAGCTCAAAGATATTGACTCGTTACATCTTGCTCTTGTGAATGATGTTATAATATATTTGGTATTGAATAATTATCCTCTTGTGTGATCAGAAAGATGCATAAAAATTTGACGATATCATTTCATGCAAAATGCTTTCAACTTATTTTCACCTTTCATTATGTCTCAGTGAACAAATAAACGATGTTTTCGTGATGAATAATGTACTATGATAACTGATATCCCTGGAACATTGCATTATTTGTTCATTAAATTCACTTGGGTGCAATCATTAACCAATGACTTGTTAGTTCAATTAGAGTACTGATTGCGCATTGTTCTCATCAACGCCTCGACGAATACTGTATATATTGTTAGTGCATTTCCCGATTATCGTCAATGCGCTTTCCAAAAAGTACTCAGTGCGATTGCAAAAGGAATTCACGTTGTTGAATTTCAATCAGTATCGAAAAAGTCATTCAACCCTTTTCTGGCAAAAAATGTTTCTAACAGGAAATTAATGGATCATCGCGATATAGTTCATGTTAGTTCATGTTAGGACGAATTACGTAGGTTTGAATCAAACTGGAGATAAATCTGTTGGAGTTTTTTCTGCATTACTTGTAATTTTACACTGATTAAAACGAGAGTTTGGATATGTGCAATGTCGTCGTTTCCACTCATGCAAATGAACTCATGATTCTGTGGTCGAGGTTCATCACCAT